AAATAAGGTAAAAATATTGTCCGTTGGAATGTTTAGATACTTAAATAGCACATTTGGCTCAACAATGTCAGAGAATATTGCCTACAAGCTAAGGTTAATGTTAGCCACAAAGTTTAAGAAAGTAAAACTCACCTTGTGTCAGAGAATGTATAACGAGGCGTACATCTTAAAACCTTTCTCCAGCTTACTTGTTGGGGCTTCGGATCGATGTACAAACCTTGGCCAAGTCCTGCAAGCACCTCATGTAAAAGGCCATTTTCAATAGATCGGAAACAATCGAGCCGCTTTTCCCCAAACGCGGAAGCTGAGGTGCAAAGAGCCCACTGTATGAGAAATCTTTAGATGTAATAATCGTATTATCCAGGAGGTGGCAATAATGCCACCATATGAATACCGACAGTCCAAAAATCCCAAAAGAAGAAGAAGAATCGGAAGAAGAGGAGAAGAACGATAAAATGGCGCCCGGTCTGTTTTGTTGAATTTTCGAGATTTTTCTGAAAAAGTTTCTCAACGAGCAGTTAACTGCTGCTGAAGAAACTTTCACAGAGTTTAAAGAAATAATCGTCAAGTCGGAGGAAGAGATGGATGATCAGCGCAGACTGCTGGATTTCTCCCGGACTCCTCAGATTATCTTACATCGAATAGGTAGGAAACAGCAGCGTTTGGATGAAGGTTAAGGTCTAAATGTATGAAGCTTTCTGTATGTCGATCACTTTAGTCACTGTCTCTTCCCATATAAATGTGTTATTAGCAGGTAAATGAACGCAGACGGCACAATTATGCTGTGAAAATGTCTAATTTATGTAGAGAAAAAATGGAGCCAGTGATCTCAGTTGTTTCTCCCCCCCTGTATTAATAAAGAGAGTTACGTTTCAAAACAGAAATACGGTTGAATACAATTTCGCCTTCTAGCACGAAAACCACTCTAAACATAAAGCCAGGGCTACAATGCGATGGTTTAAAACAAAACATTCATGTGTTGGAATGTCTCAAAGTTCACATGGTCAGTTTTACTTCACAGTTGCTTTATGTTGGTCTTAACCATAAAACTTTACTGAAATGATTTATGTATGTGGTTGTATGACACAATATGGAAAGTTTAAGAGTTATGAATACAAGCTACTGTAGAGACAATGCAGCAGAGGGTTAGTGAAATAAGCAGCGTAAAATAATGTTTAATAATATGTAAATAAATAAATAAATAAATAAATAAGTTATATGTGCTGTTAAATAATATTAATGCCTGCAATAAATAATTTCATGGTAATAAATTTGAGGACAAAATAAGAATGGTATCAGTCAAATAGGAATCAGGAGGTCAGACTTTTTAAAAATCTGTAATCAGCAATCAGCCAGAAAACTGCAGTAGGTGCACCACTGCTGTATCTGGTGATTTCTCAAAGAAAGTCTTCTTTCATTTGCTTCAATAACATTAACAATTCTGTTTTCTTATCCAGATTACCTGCTACATAACATTAAGGAGGAACAAAGGAACCAAGAGAGGAGATCCACTCTGGACCAGGAGGAGTTAGAACCTCTGCAGGTGAAACAAGAACAGGAAGAACCAGAAGATCAGCAGATAAAAGAAGAGCAGGAGGATCTAGAACATGAGCAGATAAAAGTGGAAGAGAAAGAAGTTTACTGCAGTCAGGATGAAGAACAGATTGAGTTAAAACAGGAGACTGATACCTGCATGGTGGTTCCTGTTGATGACCAAACATCCCACACTGAATCAGAACCAAACAGGAACCAAGTCATCTTCCAGGAAGCTGCTGAAATTGAGAACCAAAATCAGGAAAGAAGAAAACCTTTCTCATGTGAGACCTGTGGAAAAGGTTTTTCTTCCAAATATACTTTTGATGTTCACATGAGAACTCATACAGGTGAAAAGCCATTTTCATGTCTGACTTGTGGAAAGCGTTTCACTGTTAAATCTTCTCTCAATGCTCACATTAGAACTCATACAGGTGAAAAGCCATTTTCATGTCTGACTTGTGGAAAGCGTTTCACTGTTAAATCTTCTCTCAATGCTCACATTAGAACTCATACGGGTGAAAAGCCTTTCTCATGTGTGAACTGTGGAAAAAGTTTTAGTCAAAAGTCTTATTTAGCTGAACACACGTTGATTCATACAGAGGAAAAGGCTTTTTCATGTGTGAAGTGTGAAAAACGTTTTAGTCGAAAACAATATTTAACTGAGCACATAAAGATTCACACTAGTGAAAAGCCTTTTTCATGTGTGACCTGTGGAAAAAGTTTTAGTCATAAACATTACTTGAGTAAGCACATGAGGATTCACACCAGTGAAAAGCCATTTTCATGTGTGACCTGTAGAAAAGGTTTTAGTATAAAACAGGATTTAACTCGGCACATGAGGATTCACACAGGTCAAAGGCCGTTTTTATGTGTGAACTGTGAAAAAACTTTTAGTCTTAAACATGATTTAACTCGGCACATGACGATTCACACGGGTGAAAAGCCATTTTCATGTATGACCTGTGGAAAAAGTTTTAGTCAAAAACAGCATTTAACTTGTCACATGAGGATTCACATGAGTGAAAAGCCTTTTTCATGTGTGAAATGTGGAAAAAGTTTTCGTCAAGAACAGAATTTAACTCGGCATATGATGATACACAAAGGTCAAAAGCCATTTTCATGCATGACTTGTGGAAAATGTTTTCTTCGAAAACATAATTTAACTCGGCACATGTTGATTCATACTGGTGAAAAGCCACTTTCTGTGGAAAGTGTTTCTGTCTAAAACAGTCTTTCTCAAACTGGTGTTCCGCCGGCGCTCCTAGTGGTCCACGAAGTAGGATGAACAAAGAAAACAATAATCTGTGAATTCAGAGACTAATATTTTCATTTCAGCTTGCATCATATAGTAAGATGTATTATTGCGGGGGCAATTTCAGGTTAGGTAGTCCTCTGACTGTTAAATGAGATAAGTGGTCCTCAGCCTGAAAAAGTTTGAGAAGCACTGGTCTAAAACATCAGAAAGCTGAACATTTTGAGGAGTCGCACATGGAAGTATTCTCCATGTATGATTTGCTGAAGAACTGCAAATCTATGGAGTCGTTGAACCAGAATCATGGATCTGTGAGCTGTTGTCATTCTGCCTCCCTGAATAACTTCTCCATTTAGTACAGGGAACATTAACAGTCTGACCGGACATGGACTCCCTTCCAGAACATTCTGACAAGATTGGGCTTGAGGGGTTGGTTTGTATTATTCTGTTCACTAAAGACAGTTTGTGGGGTTTACTTTTGTAGTTTTTTTTTAAATCAAAAATAGAACGTACTAAAATGGTTGAGTGTACATTTGTACTTTAAAAGAAATCCAAGATTCACCACAAACTAATTTTCATGCAATGATTGTACAAAGGGTGTGTGATTGTTTTCAATTATTAGCTTTTTCTCTACTTTTAGCTGTAATATTTTGTTCTTTTCTACTACAGCTGACTTCTGTTATATCACTGTCTTTATCCTGAAACTATGTTCATGTGCATTTATATTGATATAAAATTTTTATTAATGTCTAAGAAAGAAATTCACGTAAAATTTCATGTAAGAATAAAAGTTTTGAGTTTTCCTTTAGTGTATGTTATGCCTTATTCTTGAGCCCAGCAGATGGTGGCTCTACACCTGTACTGGTTGTAGCCGCTGTGGTTCCTGTAACTGATGGGTTGCTGGTTCTGACTCTCCACATCCATCTCAGTTGTTGAGTCCTTGAGCAAGACACCAAACCTGCCTTGCCTGCTGTTAGTCAGAAGTCCGATGGGCCGATTGTGTAGCAGCTTCTGTCAGTTTGCCCCAGGGCAGCTGTGGCTACAATGTAGCTTATCACCATGAACGTGTGAATGACTGAATGTAGAGTAAAAAAACACTTTGGCATCTTCTGCACTACATAAGGCGCGATACACACATTTACCGCTTGTTTTTTGTCTGTTTGTTCTGTTCTTTATTAAACTTGTCCTGTCTGGCAGTGGGGCACTCAGCATTGTTGAGTTCCAAGGTGAAACTCTAAAGACTTGTGGAAGTGGATCATTAAGGCTTTCGCTATGACGCTCCACCTGGTATTTAGAAATTAAGCTTTATTGGAAACTGCTTTGGGTTTATTTAATTAGATTGTAACGAGACAGAGAAGAAATTGGGATAGAAAGAATATTGTGGATAAAGATTTAAAGCGAAAGGAGGATAGAGGAATATGTTTCCATGTAAACCATCGTTGCCTGTTAGACTCAGAAATGACGCTCTTTTAAAATTGACAAAGTATTTATAGGAACATGAAGTAATTTAGTCCTCTGATTACATTTCTGAGTATTGCATCACTATGGGGGCCCATTAGCTGATACTGAAGTTCTTATACATTAATAGATTTTGTCTGTTATTTTGCACAGTAGCAAAGAAATTTAATTAATATGAATGGAATATTTATTTTACTGTATTGTGAATCATTACTGAAAAAAAAAAAAATCGGTTCCATTTATGGTGGGCCCTAGCGACCATGGGGCCCCAAGCAGCTGCA